TAGAAAAGTCAATGAATCTTTCAACTTGCATTCATTTGAACTCTTTTAAAAATGTTCTGTTACCAAAAGGATCCTGTTTGGGAGCATCACGGTAGATAGTAAAGGGTCTTGAATTTAACTCTAAGATCTACTTTTAAATTTTGATTCTGACTCTGATAATTTTGTGTCCTGAAGCAAGTCATAGCTCACTGTGTCAAATGGTAGCAACAGTTGCTTTTTCCCACCACCCAAGGTAGGTTCCATGACTAAATGGAGTGAATGTTAATAAAAACTAGTTTTTTACAAGGATAAGTGCCTGCCACAAAGACTCATCCTGGATACTGAATTCTAGAGCCAACATTATAGCAAAACTCCATTTGTACCCAAATGTAGTATTGTGGGAGAGATTATATAGATTGTTTAGATGATTACTTTCATGTGAAGACTAAAAGTCATAAAGTCCTAGAGCCATAAAAGTCCATATCCAGCACACTTTAGATGCAGGAAGCAGAAAACTTTCTTGAATTTTGAACATAAAGGGACTTAAAACAATCAAATAAGCAATTGATCAAATGATGGGAAGGTTCTAGAAATGGGCTTCAGGTTGGGTCTCCATAAATGACCCCAGAACACCACAGCTCTGACCTTTGAGGACAGCTCTTGCCACCACCACATTCAGGAATGTGAGAAATCAAGAAAGAACTATGAGGGTTCAAAAGAATCACAGGAAGAGTAACCTGAAAATAGGGAGTAGCCACTCTCACAGGAGGCTCTTGGAAGCAATGGAGATTTACTACAGAAGATGCTACTTCTTCAGTCTCTCACATATCTGCAGAAACAACCCAAAAGATGGGGGAGAGTGGCCTATTTCACATCTCTKCCCTCCAAATTTTATGCCCAGGCATCCATTTAGGAGAATTTAATTTGCAGGTAGAATATTAGCCTCAAAGGATTCTGATAAATGTAGCTTTAGATGTCCGGGCTTTGTTTTTAAAAATAGCCCTGAGATGTAGGAACAGATGCAAAGACTCAACTACATTCAACAAAGCACACCCAAGATCATGGTTAGCTTCCTTAAATTTTTTTTCAATCTACTGGACCAATTGTGGACTTATTCTACCGGCTTCCAACCAACTCCCTTTTAAATTCATGTGGCTTTTTTTTTTTTTTTTTTTTAGTATTGGGAATTGAACCTAGGGAGCTTCACCACTGAACAATATCTCCTATTTTTTTATTTTTTGTAGTTGTAGATGGACAGCATGCCTTTATTTGTTTATTTTTATGTGGTGTTAAGGATCTAACTCAGTGCCTCACATGTGCTAGCTAAGCACTCTGCCACTTAGCTATAGCTACAGCCCCACCCCAAGTTCTTTTTATTGTTTACTTTGAGAAAAAGTATTGCCAAGTCATTGAGGGTCTCACTAAGTTGCTRAGTCTGGCCTCAAACCTGTGATCCTCTTGCTTCAGCCTCCCAAGTGGTTAGAATTACGGGTATATACCAGCACTCCCAGTTCATATGACTTTTATGAAATGAATCAAAACTAAATTTCTAATACCTAATTTCATAGACAAGTTCCAAAGAAAATTTGATTTTTAATGGCATAATAATATCTTAATCTTCTAGGTATAAGTGCTGTGTATTGACAGAGAACATGACTCGTTCAGGTAAAAATGCTTCCTTTGCTAACTAATCCCTTTTTCCACAAACTTCTTACAAAAGTTCAGTGCAATAAAAAGAAACAAAACACTGAACTAAAAAAGCCCTCAAAATGAAAAGCAGATGCAGGATGTTTTTAATTCTGCTTTAGTACCACATACCTTTTTTTTTTCTCATTTTATATGGTAGTCTACTTCCCAATATATAATAATTTAGTTTCTTGATACCTACATAGATTTAGTCAATATTAATTAACATATATACCTAAACATTCTTTCCAGAGTAAAATGAAATTAAAAATTTCTAAAATTGAAATTAACACATAACMAAAAAAAATCAAATTTTAGACCTTAAAAGAGATCAGAGGGGAATCAGAGTCGTAAAGAGCCTAACCATCCTTTATATGCTATTTGAGTTAGATTTCTACAAAAATTGATGGCTTCTTTGGGATCATGTGAGTAAATAACCCAGAAATACGTCCCTAGTTCCTTGCCTACTGAGACAGAGGGGCACATGGGTCTGATTAGGAGATCAGACATGGAATAGACTGAGCAAGGATTAGGTGAAATAGACTGTGAGCTCTGTCTGAGCATATGGAATTTATGATTGGATCTGAAAGGCTGCATGAACCTAACAGAAGGTCAGGTAACAGGAAAACTAACGTTTTCAGTTACCAAGGATTTGTTATTTAAGTGGAGACCCACAGCGTTAGTTAACAATTCACAATCAATCCCATTCCATTTCTGCTGGTACTTATTGCTCATGATAACAGGAAACAATTCTGATAAGGAAGCATTTAACCACAGGTTACCAAGTTCACCGTCAAAAAAAAGCAAAATGTTCTTGTTCCATTTAAATATCACTGCAGGTAAATATAATTTGAAGCTATTTATTGATAGGCTAAAATTTCAAGGGACACATTCAAGATATGCTAATAGCCAGAGCAAATTACCTTAATGCACCATAGGTTGGCAATGTCTACATAAGGTATTTGGGAGCTGGATGGGATGTTGTTAGTACAACATTGTAAGTACACAGGATGCCATTATTGAATTTTTTTACATTAAAATGATTAATTTTGTGTTAGGTGAATTTCACTTCAGTTTTTAAAATGTAAAAATAAAAGTATTTAAACTGACTTTTTATAAAAAGGGCTGGAGATACAGGTTGGGGTAGAACATGTGCTTATGTGCTGAACATGGGCAAGGCTCTGGCTTAAATCCCCAGCACCCAAAAAGAGAAATAAAAAACTCCATGGGAGAAAAGTATACTCAGGCAGTGGCACTGTACAAATCTGTGAATCTGTTGTACCATGCCAATAACAGCCTACAGGCATAACGATTCCTTGCTAAATCACTAGAGCTTTGCTTAACCATTTCCTCCTTTGGGGCACTGACTGCACCTGCTACACTTCTCAGACTTCACCTTAGCACAGATAAGAAGGACCTAATCAAGGGCCATCTAAATCAAAAACAAGTCACTTCTGTCGTTAGTGATCAAGAGGGTTAAATTCAGCAATAATAAAAATGCTTTAGACTTAAGAGATTTGGTTTAGCTTTCATTCAATATAAAAATAGGCCTATTAGAGGCAAAACAGGTCTAAATAGGCAAAACAGATGTTAGTGTTAGCAATCAAGATAAAGGTGACCCCGGGAGAGGGGCAGGGGCTAGAAAGGAGCCCTAGGTGACTTCTGGTTTCTTGATCTTGTGTTGATGAAGCTGAATGCTCACTTTGTGAAAACCGATCCAGCCGGACAGACAGCTGGTGCCTTTGGCTGTATACATGTTACACTCTGATAAAAGGCTTAACACACCTTTATTGACTCAGAGAAAGTTATATTTTTACATTTAGATTATAGTAATTACTGTCAATGAAAAATTCCCAAAACTCTTTGAACATGGACATATGTGGGTATATTACTAAAGTGGCTCTCTAGAAAAGAAGGCACCTGCTGAACTTCCAGTCAAACTCCTCCTCTGTGGGTACCCCAATCTGCATCCACCCACTTCCAACTCAGCTGTCTGTTCCCTATTTCCCATAACCTTTCCAAAGGGAATGCTGCGGAATTCCAACCTCAGGAACCCTTCCCCTCTGTTCCCTCCTTAGTCTTCAGTCATTGTCATCTTATCTTGTAATCATTTTAGAAACCAGAACAGCAGATTCCATATAATGTAAAAGTTCTAACTAAGCTTTTGTGTAGAATGCTGCCTTCGTCAATTTTTCTGTTTTAATTAGGGGTAGGGAGTTCTTATTTCAAGCCCAAGGGCATTAATGGAAATCCAAACCTCTGGGTTTCTTCAAACTTTTTCTCAAACAACTTAGTCTAGCAATTATGACATTTGAGTGTTAGATTATCCTTGAGAAACAGGAAATATGATTTAAGATTATATATAGGTTAAGTATGTGTGGGGGACACATTTATATATAAAGAGAGACAGAGAAATAGATACATAATTTAAATAGGAATAAAACTTCTAAATAATTTGCAAACTGATTTGCTTAAAAAAGAGTGGGTCCTCCTTTGAATTATGTAGATTCATTTTCCATGACCCATCTGAAATTTTTAAAAGAGGTTAAAAAAACTGATTGGTTTTCTCTAAATTATAACCTATAAAAATCAAAATACAAATTAAAGGGAATAGAAGAAAGGTCTGGATCTTCCCATGAATACATTAAAAGCACCTGACCCTGACTTGACAAAAATTCATGATTCTCTTACTATTAGGGGACAATAACTTTTTTAAAGAACATTTTATTGAGGGTTTCCTGTGTGTCAGGCCACACAAAGTGACATATATGCTTTCTCTGCTGAAGCCTTAATAACTGTTTGGGGAGGAGGGAAATACTGCAATCTACACATTACAGTTGAGGAAACTGAGGCGGGGATGTATGAAGCAACCTGCCCATCAGGAGAACCAAATTTGGAAAGTAAGAATGAAGAAGAGAATGAACAAACAGATGAAAACCTTTCTCTACAGGGTATGAGACAAAGAGACAGGGTCCTGGCAATGGGAAATAGGGGCAAATCAAGGTTGGCAGGGGTCCTTTCCCTTTTCTTGTGCAGTTTGGGGTCCTTCCCCTTTTCTTCTAAATCCTGTCCAATAATCCAGAGCAAAACCAAGGTCCAGGAGAGAAAAGGGCCAGTCTCACTACCTCCCCAGGTTGGAAAAAGTAACTCTCCTTCCACTATCTATCTCATTAGCATTTTTCCATAAAGTACACAGTCCTTTATATCCACTTCTAACCACCAAAGCCCGATAATATAAAAACATAAAATTAAAGCAAGGACATAAAGTTTCTTCCTTTAATATCATTAGTGAAACAGGTAGCCGTGATAAGTCGATTCTTTATCTGCTTGCCAAGTTCAGGACAGGCTTAGTTCCCAAGTCTTCCAGATGGTTCAGATGTATCTTCAAGTGTGAGAAGTGTTGCTTTCTCCTATTGGTTTCTCCCAACTTCTATATGAAACTGGTAGGAAAGGCACCATTACTTAAGAAGCATCAAAGATTCAAATGTTGAAACTATTTACATTACTAGCTTTAAAATTCTGAAACATTCCAAATTCCCCACCCATCTACCCCAAACCCTAGGGAGCCCAGACCTTGCCAGGATTAGGCAGTAAAAGGGTCAATGCCTGCCTAGTACAACAGGGCTCTGGCTCCTGCTCTTAGCCACCTGCTGTTGTGATTGGTCAGTGCCTGTGTGAAAGCTTTCACTCACACCCTGAGAGCATCCACAGCCTCACCAGGATTTTGGTAGGGAGCCAAAATATTGTGTATGGCATGGCACTCTCTGGGTGACATCTCCCACTCTTTATGGTGGTCAGGACCAGGGGATACGATGCTTTCACTTAAGGAATAAGAAGTAACCTCTACCAATTCTAAATAGCTCCAAACACATCATTTTTAAATGTCCTTTTATGTGTGATGCTTTGTATCGGTATACGGAGAATCTGTTTTATGAGTATGCTCATCCTTCCTTTTATAGAAAAGAAAGAAGGATTCTCCATTTTTTAAGTGATAACAAGTAAATGAAAGATTGTTAAGTTGTTTAACTATTGAATGAATTTCTCAATACACACAGAAATAAAATTAAATCCACAAGCCAACCAAAACTGACATAGGCCAAGGAGACTGTGCTATGTCTGTCATACTTTCCAAATTCATTCACAAACCTTATCCCAGTGGTTTTCAAAGTGTGGTTTCCCACACCAGCAGCATTAGCATCACCCACGACCCTTGGAGAAGGGTAGATTTTTAAGTCCAGCCCACACCTGAATCAGAAACAGAGGGTGAAACCCAGCAATCTGAGCATTACCAAGTCTTCCAGATGGTTCAGATGTATGCTCAGTGTGAGAAGTGTTGCTTTCTCCTATTGGTTCCTCCCAACTACTACCTGAAACTGGTAGGAACAGCACCATTACCTCAGGTTTGCTTAAGAAGCAACAATGGTTTAGAGAGGATGAGCGATTTACCTTAAGTTACACAGCAGACTGACAAGAGAACCAGGAGGTAAACCCAGGACTTTGACTCGAGATTTTGTTCTCTTTTGTCTTCAATGCACAATCTCATGAAGATGCAATAAGAATAGCCAGTGAGACTACACWTGTTTGATTCTRAGAGACCAAATACAAACTGCAGAGAGTTGAGCAGAAAATACCACAGAAGGATAAAGGCAATCTTAAGAAATTCTGGGTCCCTCTTAGTCCTCAGGTCATGGAGACTAAGGGAATCAAAGCACCTACAGAATAATTTATCACAGTAAATATAACTTTTCTCCTGGGTGCACTCTAGATTTCCTCTTTAAAAAGACCTGGGATTCTACTGGCTCTCTCCTTAGTATCTACCTCCTTCCTATAGTTTCCCCCAGAAACACTGCTGCAAGGCTTGGCGAGCTTTCTTTCACCTTTCCCTTTTTCCAGTGGTGTTTTCACTAGTAATTCCTCCAACAGTCTCAATGCATCACTCTCTTTCTCAATTTTTTAAAATCATTTTTGTCTTTTCTACCTAGTATGTAAGGTGCCTTAATATCCAGGATTTTGTCTAATCTCTTCACCACCCCAGAAATGAAGTCCAAGGCTGGCAACGAATATTTGTTACATAAATGCATATATTACAAATCATCCACCTGGATATTTCAAAATGTATTTTCATAAAGACCTTCATCCTTGAAACAGCATTGGTTATTTTTCTCCCAAACAGGAAATTATGGAGAATTACTTAAAATATAGCTTAAAGTCAAAACTGTAAAGAAAACCAGAGCTTATGCCCAAACTCCCAGTTCTATTCTTGAAAAATACCCCTCCCTTCTTCTCTGCCTGTCCCTYTCTTTCTCAGTAAATCATCACATTAGCTCTCCTTGTAAGGATCTCAAGATGGGCAGGACTATTTTCTTTGTAGAATTGCATTTTCTTTTATTTCCCCGTGACACAAAGCATTTAACCTGTGTCTGAATTTATTGTTTAGATTCTATTCTTTTACAAAAATATCTGGTACAATTAAACTGGAACAGAAAAGAGAAAAGTCTAACGTCCATGGTAAAAGATGCATGTTTACATCCTTGCCTACAGCATTTAATAATTGGCACAAGCTTTCAAGGAAGCTGTGGCTCATACTGCAAGTTCCGTTTGCGCTTCCAACTGGACAAAATATAGACACAGACGCACTCAGCTAAGTAATTGGATTCGCTACCTGGAATATTTAAATTGTTTTCAGACACTGGAAATTGGCTTAAGAAGATTAAAGAAAAATACCCTGGAGTATAAGAGGCTATAATTTACTAGGTGGAAAATCTTTTCAGCAAGAACAACTGCCTCATTCTCCTATAATTCTTTCTGATTAAGAGATGTATTAGTCATTTGGACCTAAATTTCCTTAGATCCTGACAGCTGGAGTTTATTTCAGTGGTTGTTCTTATCAAACCCTTTGAATGACACCCAGGACAAAAATTGATACCATAATGTGCAACTTCAATCACATGTTTTCAGCTGGATTTGTTCATTTAAATATTTTGAAAGTCACTGCGGTGGAAGGAAGAGAGGTCATTTTAAGTCCTGGGGTCTGACCACATGTGAAGTCCAGGAGACCCCGGGGACTGGGGTAGGCTGTACCCATCCTGGCAAAAGATACAGGTAATACTTATGGAACATCTTGACGTGTCTGCTTCAAACTGAAGACTCCAGCCAGGTCGTTTCTCAAAAATTAGCCCTCCTCACCTGCCTGCAGGCCCACTAAGCCCTCCTCAACCCTTAAAGGCACCCTACTGCTCATTAGCCCTTCCCAGGTGTGTCCTCCTCCGCCCTTCGCAGGGCCCCTTACTCTGGAGCCAGGCGCTAAAGTTTGGCATCAGCGACCACCTGTCGGCTGGGCCGATGTGTCCTCTGCCGCGTGTCTCTCAGAAAAGCGCTAAGAGGGTAGCAATTACTAAACAGTTTCGGACTTGGGGGGTCATTCCTTCTTCAAAAGGGGCAAAAGAGGTAATGGGGATGCGCCTGTTCTCACAGGAGAGGGGCGCATCTGGTCCGTACCCAGCGAGTTCCAACTGGTCCCAACTTCATATTCCCCACTTTCTAAACTCTCTGGACCAGTCACCAGGCAAAGCTTCCTTCTCCTGTTCCATTGAACCCACAGACAAGACCCTCAGAAAGCGTTTACCAGATCCAACAAGGATGTCAACTCTAAACCTGGAGGACACTGGAGTGCGCGTAAGCCTCCAGCTTTTTGCTGTCCGCCTTGGCAGATGACAACCTGTGCGCCCCGAGGCTGCCCCTGCCCGCTCCCAGTGCGCCCATTGCATAACGCGCCCCTCGCCCCACCCCCACCAGCCCGCCCTGCCGGGTGCCCGGGCCAGCGCCCCGAGCCGGGCCGCCCCAATACTTACATCATCCCACTTGACGAATTTGGTGCCCTTCTTGAGGCTGTCGGACACGCACACAGGCTTGAGTTGCAAGGCGTGCACTCCGGGTTGAGCCCCAGCCATCTGGGCTCATCGGGGCTCCGGGTAGCCCGGGCGAGCACGGCAGGGACTAGGCGCGGGCTCCTTTCTCTGCTCCAGAGGCGCTCGACTCTGCTCACCCGCCGGCCTCCCCCGGCCTCCTGGCCTCCGCACCTCCCTCAGGCGCCGCTTAGCAGGCGGGGCGCGCGGGGGCGCAACGCCCGGCCATGCCCCGGGCGGGACGCGGGGTCGGAAGCCCGCGGTGGATGCCGAGCCTCGGAAGATGAAGAGAAGCCGAGCCAGGCGGCCAAAGCTGCCAGCGACCGCCGGATCCTGCTCCTCCTCCGCCGCCGCCTCAAAGCGCACCATTCAGCACATCCTCTATACACAGAGGGAGAGAGCGAGTGACACACGCTCGGCGCCCCCCCCCCCCGCTCCTTCCCCTCCTCCCTCGCCTCCTCTCCCCCCCTTCTCCGCCACCCTCGCGCTCGGTCTTTCCTCCCCCCGCCCCGCGCTCCCAGCCCAACTTTGCGCGCTGGGTCAGGCGCCTGGAAGCGGGGACGCAGCGGCACCTCCCGGCTCCAGAGGCCCACTGCAGCCAACGCCTGCGCCTCCCTCAATGCCCTCTGAGCATGCCCCGTGCCCTAGTAGCAGGGGTGCAAGGGGTGTCCAGGAGTATTTGCGATTCTTAGGGTTTTCTGGGGAACTTGAGCAGGAATGCGGGGAGAAAGGGAAGGTGTTGGGARGGAAGATAGGGGCAACCCATAGCTTGCGGTTCCAGTGGGAGCTCTCCAGGTTTTTTAAAAAGGAAATTATTATTTATTAACATAAGAGAGCAGTTGAGAGGTTTGAAGTGAGAGTTCTTTGAAGAAACCTTGCTGCTTCTTAAGGAAATTGGCAAGCGTCGGTCTTGAAGTCCGGCGAAGGGTTAAGTTGTGATTTTGAGATTTAAAAGTCGATCTTTAGGAAAGCCAAGGTTTTATTCCCAAGGGAGACAGGAGGTTCCCCTCATATTCTTCTGTGTGTGTGTGTGTGTGTGTGTGTGTGTGTGTGTGTGTGTGTGTGAGAGAGAGAGAGAGAGAGAGAGAGAGAGAGAGATTTTATTAATAGATACTTGGCTTATTTAGGAACATAGATCCAGGAATGTTTGTGTTTACTCATTTTTTTCAAACATGTCTCACTGGAGGAAGGTACAGGAGAAAAACATGGATAAAAGTTTAAAGCCTAATTATACCAAGCGTTGGAGAGGACTGCGGAGCAACTGGAACTCTCATCCATTGCTGGAGGGAATATAAAATGGTAAAGACACTTCGGAGAACAGTTTCTTGTGAAGTTAAACGTTTATTTATCATACAATCAAAAAAAATCTACTCCTAGATTTTTGTCCAAGAGAAATGAAAACAGACTTGTACAGCAAGTTAATAAGGTTTTTCATAATACCCTCAACTGGAAGCTGAGAATGCCAATCAACTAGTGAATAGATACACAAATTTGGTATGTCCAAATAATGGAATGCTATTCCACAATAAAATGSAATGAACATTCAATGCCATGAGTGAATCCTATAAACTTTAAATTTAGTAGAAGTCAGACACAGTAGACCACATGCTACATGATTCCCTTTATAGGTATTCTTGAATAGAAGAGCTATCTAGTCTATACTGAGAGAGAGCTTTCTCAAAGATTGACCAGGRAACTTTTGAGGGTGACAGAAATATTCTGTATCATGTGTGTTTAAATTTGTCAAAGCTCATAAAACTGAATACATAAAATGACTGAATTTATAGTTAAATTACATCTTCTTTTAAATAAAGGGAGAAAACAGACTGCTATCTACCTCCTGGGTAACTATAAGACAAGGTTTATAAACTCAATCAAAAGATTATCAACAATCCAATAGGGGAATTTGCTGTATAATTTTGCAATATATTCAAAAAATATAATGATCACCACCTACATGCTTGGCACTATTTCAATCACCGTGGGCAACCTGGTGAACAAGACCCATGATTCCATGTCTTTGGGAGGTCTTCTCTTGACCTTGGAAGCCAACTGCCACCAAGAATTTCATTAAAAACCTGTTTCATTCTAATCATGCATCTCTAGACTATAACCTGAATCTGTCATACATAGTCCTTCTAAAAAGTGACGTTGACCTGCTAGATGCCTCTCAGAAGGCACTGTCATGTTCTTATGCTGATTACCTTCAATTAAAAGACTGARACAAAACCCTGCTTCCAGGGCTCTGTGCTTTCTCAATTGTCCTTACAACTGATTCTACTAGATTGTTTTGCTCTGTTTCGATCCYTTCTTTTTCATTCCTTTCCTTTTCTTTTTCCCTTCAATTACTTTGTAATCCATTAGAAAGATTACTGGGGAAATATATTTTCACCTATCAGAATGRCTTAGGAAGTCAAGACAGATCAAAGATGGGCCCACTAAAGGAAGAATTTGGAAGGTCATAAATGGGCTCYGAGCAAAATTAAAAGGTAGATAGGTTCCTTGCATCTCTGTTCTTTGCTCTGTGCCCCTCCTTATATGTTTACATTTCGCTTGTGAACTTTTAGATTTCAGTAAGACGRGCTGTGTATCTATCTACCCCACTGTTGTTGGACAATGTGACTTGCTTGGATGAGTGGGATGTTTGAAGGTGTGATATGAGCAAAAGCTTGAAATATGCTTCTGAGGTAGGGTTTTGCCCTCTTAGGTTTCTGTTCAGTGGCAGGAGATAAGCAACCATGTCTCAGGGAGCCTCTGATCCAAGGAGACACATGTGTCAGCAGACCTAAACCTAATTTGCAGTTTGGAATCAAGCCCAGTAGAATTCACCCCAGATCTGCCAGAACCTAGCCAACCTGCAGACCCCTGAGCATGACAATAAATGTTCTTCTTTGAATGCAGCAGAATTKGGGGTCATTTGTTATGCACCTTTATCATGGGAATGGATGGTTGAGTATTTCATCAGGCATTCTTTATCCCTCCCAGCTGTTGCTGGGAATGTGAATGTAAAAAGAAGGGTAAAGCTGTAATATTCTGCATAGAGATTGGCTTCAAAACAAACTTGGGCCCCTGGGGTTTTCGTTTCTGTATTTTTTTTTTTTTTTCAGCAAAATGATGGAAATGATGCAGCTTGATACAGGAAGAGTACAGAATAAATCCCTTCAAAATCAGGATGACACTTGAGGCAGTTTAATTCAACTCCCTACTTTTGTACACCTTTTTAAAAGATACTATGTAGAAATATTTTGCTTGTTTATTTGCTTGTTTCTTTTGTTTTAAGGGTGGGGATTTTTGCCATGCAAAGGAACCTGCAAGACAATTCAAAATCCTGTGAATCGGCTTATGATCCATCCAGTTCAGTGCTTTGTTCTGTTTTTCTTTTTTGAAACAATAAGAAGGTCTGTGTTTTGTGAGAGCACAGAATTGCCTTTGGGAATGTCAGCCTCTGGGAGTTGGCAAAGTTAGCCTCTATTGACCAGAGGTCAGTGCACTAAGTTAAGCACTTCCCAGACATTCAGTAGTGTAACCCTTACTATTCATCAGCCTTCTTCACCCACTTTTTCTTAGAAGCATGCCCTGATTTTGTTTAGTCATTATTGCTTAGGAAGGTGGTCCCTTCCTCTGTCCAGGAAATGAACTTGATTGGTCTAGACCAATTAAAGTAATTCCATTCTCCTTTGCTTTTGACTGGTGTAGAAGGTACATATGGGATCCAGATCTGACCAATGTGTATGGGGGTGTCTCTCTGTCTCTCTGTTGCTCTCTTTCTCTCCACCCCCTTCTTCCTCTCTCCTTCTGTGAAGAGCACAGTTGAGTAGAAAAATGCAAATAGCCTTATTCCTTCCTAACATCCCTAACTCTTTGAAGGATCTCTAGACTTCCTGATAAGTAAAATAATAGATATCTTTATCAGTTATATCTCAGGGTTACTCTCAGCTGATCTGGTGGATGAAATTATTACTCCTTATTTTACTGATTATAAAGCCRTGGCTTGGAGAAGTGAATTAATATCAAGGTTATACAAGGTGGAACTGAAATCGAAACCTAGAAAGTATGAATTTATGACCTTCACTCTTAACCATCATTGTTGTCCCTTGTAAGATCTGGATAATTTCTCCCTGATTTTACTATAATAAAATATAAATATTTCTAATTCCTCTAGAAATTAGATTGTGGTGTATATCGCACAACTGTCTTATCAGTTCATAACTTACTCCAGATCTGCCACCCTGGGAAGGACAGGTGATTTGATCTGAATTGAGGTACTTTCCAATAGCTAGTTCTATCTGTAACTAGCTATGTGACCTTGGGGAAGTCTTTTACCGCTTCTGGAATACAGTATGCTGATATAGGTAAATGAGGAAATAATGATGATGAGGAAGAAAGCTTATTATGAACTTGGCACTGTTTTAAGAATTTTTACTCTTACTTCATTAGTCCTCCCAAAAATGCTATGAACTTGGTTACTGTCATGGATCTTTATTTTATACCTGAAACTGAGTAAAAGAAGTGTTAAATGGTTGCACCAAATTTTTCAAGCTAGTAAGTGAAAGAACCAGAAGTGAAAGCCAGGCAGTTCACTCTCTAGTCTGCAAATTTAATCACCATACTAAGTTAGCTTGAAGAGTGATTATAAAGATCAAATAAAATCATGTATGTAAGTCACTGTCACATAGTTAATGTTAATCAATAGTAATTAAYACTTATAATTATTCTAAAATTATACTCTATTGCCTATATGTGCCCTAAAATAACGCTTTCAGTGTTCAAAGATAGCACCCTATTTCTGTGATCTGTGATTTAGTCAACTTCTTTTTTGCCTCCATTGATTCTGTAAACTTAATCATATCCATTTTCTTCTCTAACCTTCTAGAATTGAAAGGCTTTTCTCCATGATGAATAAATGAGTTTTGATTGCATCTAAGCACCAGGTTCTTTTATATTTTTTTTAAATAAAGGAGATATATAAAGAAAAACTACCCAGAACCAGATACATCTGGGTTACAATAAATTATCTTTGGCACATAAAACCTTCCGTGTGTGCAGCTGCCCACTCTTTTGCTGCCTGGCTTGCTGGGATGGAGATGATCTTCACAGTGACATTGGGAGCCACGTGTTGAAGAAGGCAGAGATTCTGCACCTACCCAGGATGATTCTGTAAACAAGAAACACGTTTGTAGACTCTTGGAGCCAAGAATTAAATGTCATCAACATCGTGATTATCATTTCATTTCACATTAATAAAAGAGATAAGGTTTACACTTCTTAGATGATAAACAAGAAAATGCATCCTGTGAAGTGGCCAAGTTCTGACTCAGTGAAGTTTGTTATMCAGTGACACATGGAGACAGGCAGAGCCTCAAAAGAAGACAACTTAAAATTATCACTGGCAC